TGGGGCCATCTTGGGGGGCTCTTGGGCCCCTCTCGGGGGCTCTTGGACCGCTTTGGGGGGATGTTGTGAGCCTCTTGGGCCGTCTGAGGCGCTCATATGATTCACATGTCCGGGGCAAGAGTTGCAAAAGCCTGCAACTTCTAATTCACATCCGAGATCTGGCTTCTTGGGCCGGCTCTCAGGGCCTACAAGACGGCCTAAGAGGCAAGAGGGCTTCACGACTGCCCCTTGGTTCATATAGCCCATGTTGGAAAGACCTGTCCCGATCCACGCGCCTTTGACCTTTGGAAAGGTCACGCGATTACCCTCCCGATAGCGCCCGCTAGTGTCCTTTTAGCGACGGGCAGCGCCCAGAACTCGGGGCTGTGGGTCCCATATTTACAGCACTCACTACCAAAGATTCGAAGGGACCTCAGGACACTCCACCGTGCCTCGAGGCGCGGTGGCGGATACGTGGGAAGCTGTACATTGGACATCTCCGAGCTCAGACGTTAATACGTACATGCGCACATCCGCAGTTTGTCCTTTACAGCTGCACGTTGTTTTCCCATTTGCAACCCAATGGGCGTTCGCACGTATAATGCCAGTTCGTGTGAATGGCCATACGCGCTTTCAACTGTGTGCGTGCGTAGGTGCGTGTGTGTCGCCTTGCCTCCACGGCTGTCACTGCTCGTTCTGGTCCCTGATCCTCGCCTGCGCTGCTGCCCCACGGGACGCCCGCGCAGCGTGGCCACTGCTCCTCCTCCCCGCCGACCGTGCCCCGTTGGCCATTTGCGGCCGCCCACCGGTTTCGCGCTGCGACCTCCGCGTGGGACGCTCCCGTGGCGGGCAGTGTCTCTTCCCCCCCGCCATCCCCGCCCGGATGACCATGGCTGCCCTCCTGCGGTGGCGCGTGTGGCGATCCAAAGCGATCCCCCCTGAAGGGCCTGGCCGCGCGAGCCCGCTCCCGCCGCTCTTCGACTTGCTCCGCCTCGTCGCTGTGCGCGAGGCCGCGACCGCCGAACAAATGTGTGTGTGTGTTTGTGTGTGTGTGTGTGTGTGTGTGTGTGTCCGTAACCCTTGGCTCAAGGCCGCTCGTGCTCGAGGGAAGCCGCACCGGCCGCCGCCGCGGGGCCGGAGGTCGGCCGCGACCTCCGGCGTGGGGGGGTGGGGGGGGGGCTGGGAAGGGGCGCCCCGTCCTGGCCCTACACTCGCCCGCCGCCATGTCGGGCACCGTTGCCTGCGGTTCGTGAGCCGCGTTGCCGCCGCGCGCCGATGCGCCGCAGACGCCGGCGATGCGAGCGCCGCCGGCGCCGCCGGCGCCGCCGTCGCTGGCCCGCCGAGGCGCGCCGCCGGCGCCGCGGGCGCCGTTGCCGCCGCTGGCCCCGCGTTGCCGGGGCTGAGCGTCTTCTCCACGGCACTGCGCGCGCAGCTCCGGGCGTGCTGGGGCCCGACGCGCTGGCGAACCGCCGCGCCGCTACGACCGAAAAGTGTTTGTGTTTGTGTGCGTGTGTGTGTGTGTGTGTGTGTGTGTGTGTCTCTACCTCTCTGTGTGTCTGTGTGTGCGTGTGTGTGTGATGCATGATTGTTCGTGGGTGGGCGCACGTTGTTGCGCCAACCAAAAATCATACCAAGCATCTGTGTAAGCTGTATGTGCATATATGGTCCAGGGCTTTGGCCCCTCCCCCCAATGCTGATGCCATTGGCCCCCCCCCCCGCGCGATAGTCCCCCCCGCCCCCCCCTGTGGGCGTGGCGTGGTGCTGCGCTGCGGTGCCCCCCCCCCCCCCTGTGGATGGGGTGTGGTGCTGTGGTGGTTCAGATGCTGTGGTGCGTGGTGCTGCGCTGCGCGTGTGGATGTGCTGTCGTCATCGTCGTCGTCGCCGCCGCCGCCAGCGTCGTCGCCGCCGCAGCCGTCGTCGTCGTCGTCGTGGTCGTCGGCGTCGTCGTCGTCGTCGTCGTCGTCGTCGTCGCCGTCGTAAGGCCGCTCTCCTCTCGAGCCTTTGAGAGATAAGCGACCTCCCCACGCGTGCCCGCTCGCGCCCCCAGGCCCACGGCGGGGGGACTGCGGACCGCGAGGCGGTGGTGCCCGCGGCTCGCGGCGCGAGCGGGGGCCAGGCCCCCGCAGGCTCCCCCTCTTCTCCCGAGGCACGCCCTTCCTCCCACCCGCGTGCGCGCGCATGTATGTGTACGTGCTGTTCATCACCACCATCGCGCGCATCATGAGTCACCAGATCAAGATCGTAGGGTGGAACCCGTTCTCGGCCATAGGTGTGGGACGCATAGACGAGATTTCTGAGGAATTTAACACGTTCCACATCGTGATGATGCCTGGGACCAAGATCAGGGCCAAGCAACGGGCCCATCATCACTACGATAAAGGTCATCGACACTGGTTTCTACACTTCGGGTGGGATCGAGGGAGCATGACAAACTCATCATGTGGATGCAGCATTGGGTTTCGGAATTCCAGGTTCCGCACTCAGGACATCACTCGTATCACTACGCCTCCAGCAGAACTCCAAGGACGGGGCGGATGCGCCG